TTGAGTTAATTATTTATATAATCAATTTTATTAATAGGAAGGCAAGAGCGGTGAATCGCTCATTGTCAGGAAGTTGCTTTTCCATTTAAATCAGTTAAATAAGCACAAATTTAAGTCTCAGCTACTTAGCCGCCAAGAAAGCGTCATTAATTATATTATGTAATATTATTCGCGTAGACTGTATGTCGACTATCATGTATTAATTATGAATTTAAAAGTTAAATAATAAGATTGTAACTTAGAATTTGAACAGTTGGGTTATCATGAACGCAATCACATTGTCTTTCTAATCTGTCAATGTTATAAGATATGGCCGATCAGATGTAATGTAAATTAAACAGTATTACGCGGCGACCGCGATGGATATAAATCACAGCTCAAATATCTGACAAGTCACTTAGCACTGAAATTTTCTCTTTAATGAGATGTCAAATAGAGCCTATTCATACACAATTTCATCTATATAGTGATGGTCTTTATATTTGTAGATTGTCATTATAATTGAGTATATTACTATAGAATATATGCAAAGAAATTATATCAAAGTAATTTGTATACGTATTTATTCTTTCATTAAATGCTTTAATTTCAAAGATATTCATCGCGTAGTAATAATAGCAAATATACGACAATTATACTGGCACAATTCAATATATTATAAAAATAACTATCAAAAATATAAATTGAAATATTGTGAAACTTTAATGTAGTCTTTATATGATATTATCGGAATATCGAATATTATTTTGTAATAACGCAAACATGGACTGGACTATATTTTCATTAACGAAGTCAAATTTCTAGAACGGATTAAAATAATCTATGACTCATACTGCCGGAATAAGTTGGACTAGAATATTATAATTAGTATAAATAAATATAGAGATGTTTTTCATTTATCATGGAGCAATGGATCATTGCTGTTTTTACTTACTGTATATTATTTTCATATATTTGCTTTTCTATTTCTTCATTTATTTTCATTTCAAGATTTTTCACTATTTTTAGTTTATTGAATTTTTGTCATACTTTTCTATAATATTTTTTCGCATGTACCCTTGCAACGATTTTATGAAATTTTCGTCTTAGAAAATTCTATGATGTAATTTAAAAATTTAATAAGGACTCATTTATTGTACCATTTATTCATTTTCATAATTATTTTTTACTCGTCAGTATTATCTTTTTAAAGTCGACTTTTAAACAATCACAGCCTCACACGTTGTCTTTCCACATTTTGCAATTTCAATAATCGATTCACTTTGTATTAAAGGCCAATTATATTTTTGTTCACTTGGTAATCGCTTTTAACAATATAGAATCAATTTTGGAATATTTTACAAAACATAAGCTATTACGATTAAATACAATATCATTATTATATTATTATTATTCAATCAGTTATTAGTAATTTGAGTGCTTTTATTTCATTCTTTTTTCAATATAAAATCGTAAAAAAAAAAAATATAAATAAATAAACAAAATGCACTGTTTACATGTTATAATTGTTTAAAGTATTTGACTTAGTCGATTACACGACAAATAACATTAAAATCATCGATTAATGATAATTAATTTTATTTATCTGTGAATTTTATTGATATTTATGAAAGAATCATCGCGTTCGTAACATTTTCCCAAATAAACCTTTAAAATCGAATAGATAAGAAAATAACGTGACTTTCTCTTATAGTAGCGCTTAGATAATATATCTCATAAACGAGCATAAAACATGCGTGCATATATATATATATATATATAAATATTAATTGGATTATTCGTTATGTAGGGATTCGTGATTTTGCATATGTTAAATGTAAAATATCTTAACCTAGCTTTGATCGACCAATATGTAAGTATTTTTCACAAATATCAAATGGGCTGCAATTATCCATCACGGCAATATATTCCATGCGAATGTGTGATTAACATAGTCAAGATTCTGTGCTTGAGCGAGGGTTCGTTTAGTCGCGTTTCATTCTCCAAATCAAATTGGACGAAGACACGTGTCTCAATCGTATCGATGTCCCTCACACCACTTTAGCTACGTGCATCGATTGACCTCTTTCATAAATTCATCAACGACTAAGGCTTAATTTTTGTGCCCCCCCCCCCCCCGTCGCAGACAATTTCAATCTCCGAATACGTTATCATCTCCGATCTTATGCCGTGGCCGTCTTTTGTCATGTCTTCCTAATACGATACATAAGATTTATAGGCTTGAGTATTCCATGGACAAAATCTTCCAATCGCTCGACAGTCGATCCACAAACTGTACTTTAATTGTATGTATGATTAATAAATTGAATTCTTATGGCTCAAACTACTCCCAACAACAAATACTTCGAAATACTTGGCAAAATGTTGGCATATTAATAAATTAAACATTACTTTCGATCGTATGATGAAATTTCGGCTTTGATTTTTCGTTTAAATTACTTAAATTGCAACATATCGTGGAAAAAATAAATAAGCAATATAATTCGTGATGAGCATTGTGATTCACAATATAATGTATATTTCCCGATAAGCAGGTTGACGACTACTACTAGTCAAACAATGGCAATAAAAATTAAATATTTTTCTCAATTAAATGACTGGCTTAATTGGCTAGCAAAGTAAAATTGATCGTTTGTATTGCTCAAATATTTGTATGCAATTGAAAATGTTCGCCTAACTCGAAAGTTAATATTATTGAACTGTTTATTCGCATTGTGGATTGGATCCACAGACAATTAATAATTATGTTTATTTTTCATTCATTTGAATTAGGTTATTATAATAACTATGTCATACTTATATAGCGTACAAGGCAAAGAATTTATTGTTATTTTATGGTATTGATAAAAATTAAAAGAGTGCGTTTGATTACATCACGTAATAATAATCGTGAAAACTGAAAAATCGTGAAAAAATGACGTGCGATATCGATGCACTGAAATTAAAGGATTTGTTATCAGTATGAATCATTATGAATATTATCGGAATATGTATGTCGAAACACCCTACTTTGCTTCCTGAGCTTTCTTCGCAAATGCATTGAGTCCGCGTGGCAAGCAATAAGAATAAAATATGGGTGTCTGTCCTGGATGAAATTGACTCGTTTAACACTTTCAGTATATCTGTATGACCGTGCCTAATTGCGCAATAATGTAAATGCGCGTACACTGTGCTGTATTCTGACAATTATTGTTAAAATTACGAGGCAGTATCAAGTTAAACGAACAATATTCCTGTGCAATATTTTTGGTTTTTCATAAATGCTCTTATTTTTATTTGACACTTTCGTATTGACAATGATTATAAGACAAAAAACAATAAGAGAGAACATACCATCTCCGATTAAAATTGTTAATAAATACATTACGAAGTGCGAATGAGAATAGAAAATTCACTATTGCCGTAGAGCATGTGTTTCCATAAAAACAAAACAACAAAACAACTAAAAAACAAAGAACAAAAAAAAAACCAAAAGAAGAAAAAAAGCAAAAAATAAATAAAGAACTATGTGACTTAAGTGTAAGCTCGTGCTTAAATGGAAAGATTTTTTTCTCCTAAACTCTGCTTCATATTCTTCATTGTGATTAAACATCGAAGCCCTATATTAATTATGTGACAAAAATTCAAATGATACATAAGATTATTGATAATTATAATGGTTGATTATTGATGAAATCTTGTATGCGTCACGATGAACGAAAGCTCGAGAAATTCATCTTAATGGAAACAATATTAGATAATTTTAGAAGATCTATTAAATAGATAATAATATTGAATGTGTAACTATGCAGTGAAAGCCGTAATTGTAACATACAATGCAACTGTTTGCTGCTGTCCAGCTCTACATCCGTCCAAATTGAAATAATTTTGTTTTCGACTAGTCGGTTATACACGCTATAGGGATTTCATAAATTAGATTAACAAGCGTTAAAAATCACGATAATTAACATTACTTTTCATTAATACAACATGTCATCAACAGCACCTTTATTATTATTGTCACTGTCATACTATGACTGTTATATTATAACTACGATTATTATTACTATTATTATTATTATCATCATCATCATCATCATCATCATCATCATCATCATCATCATCATCATCATCTCGCTAATACTATTATAACTACTACTTATTAATATTACTTATCATTACTATTAAGATTATTATTATTATTATTATTATTATTCTTTTTCTTTTTCTTCTTCTTCTTCTAATTATTATTATTATTATTATTATTATTATTATTATTATTATTATTACAAGTGGCTAATGCATTACGTAGAGCAAAATGCAGCAAACGGTTCGCCTACCACGAAATGAAACAATTTATTGTTTTAAAAGCGTATGAAGCAATAATAGTGATAAATTCGTAATAATAAATATTTTGAAACTATATATTGCATACATAGTATCGATTTATTTCTAATAATACCTTTAAAGCATACCAACGACACACTTACACGCATTCAAAAAAAAAAAGGAACATTGTATAAATTCATTCTTTTTTTTTCTTTTTTTTTTTGCATGAATATTTGTTAATTTGCACCAAATAATGTTGTTTTTCATGTTTAATGCTGCATAAACACCTAATTGAAAGCTCCATCCGAATTGTTTATATTGTTATATGTATTTTTATTTAATTTTTTTTTTTTTTTTTTTTTTTTTTTTTTTTATTTGCTAATATATGTATGGTGCTTATTTCATTTAAGAACAAATATGAAAAAGCAAATCGAATGCCTTGGAAACTAATCGAAAAGTAATTGAATTAATTGGATATATGAATAGGGAAATTTTACGGAATCAAGGCTTAAATTAAAAGGCCGTGTAATGGTATATAAATGGAACTCAAAATTCCATTTACAAAGTAAAGTAAATTGACGAAAAGTATTAATGAAACGAATAATCTGGTGGTGGTGTATTGACGCCGTAAACCGATTATTTCAATTTTTTTTTAGCCTTTGTTAGCAAATTCCTTTGTTTTGTTATTTCAGCCCCATGGACCCATCCGTATCCCCAAAGCACCCAGTAGTGAGGTACGTTCTTGTATACCATTATAACCAAAATCCATTTTTTTTTTAAATTTACTTTATCACATTTTTACTTAATTTCAAACAAATTTTATACATTTAAGTCTTATTTTATTTAAATTATTGTTTATTGCCGATTATTGGAGTTTGATCTTCGTTTCTTCTTCTTCTTTTTTTCTAGCCCATTTATTAATATTATTTCTTTGATTTCTAACATGGGAGAATAAGATGATATCAAAATATTTTCGGCTGTAATTTCTCGCTCTAATATCAAATTTAATATGTCTTAAAACTTGGTTTCCCTTGTCGTGTAAAAATGGCAAGTATTTGTATGTTTAACACAAGAATGTTGAATAATTGATAATTTCAAAAGTCGAAGTTTTCAATTGAATTAAAACTGTATGCCATCTATATTGTCGGATGTAACTTTTGCCGTAGATAAGTTTATATAAATTAATTAAAGCATGCCCAGTGAGAAAAGTAATTGCAATATATAGAAGGTCTTGATGTTTTATAAATTAATAGAGGAATTTAAACAATAATTAAAGAATATTAATGTTTGATGTACGTTTTCACAAGCGTATGCTTTCTTAAATTTTTTTGCATGATACACTTGATCATTATTTGCTATGTGAATTATTATTATTTATACTCCAGTAATAAAGATACAGTAAGCTTTTAAATTTTTTTTTTTTTTTTTTTTTTTTTTTTTTTTTTTTTTTTTTTTTTTTTTTTAAAAATTTCCACAATTGGGGGAGGGTTGTTTTTTTTTTTATGAAAATTGCCAAGATTCGGCAAGGAATTGGTAAAGAACCAATGTCTTTCTTTAAACTCTTCTTTTTTTCTTCTTTTTTTTCTTATAAAACAAAGACGAAGCACAATCGCTGATAGAGAATATTTTGTTACAGTGGTGCGACGACCAACGATGAACAAGTAAAACCACGTAGTCTGCGTTTCACGTGGAGTATGAAAACAACGAGCAGTAGAGATCCTTTAGAAATCATGTCTGAAATAAGAAAGGTAAAATATATTCCCATTATTTATTTGCTGTCGTGAGACGATCAAATAAAGAGAAGGAAAGATTTGACATTTTAAGTTTATATACATACGTGTGTGTGTGTGTGTGTGTGTGTGTGTGTTTTTGTTGAGAGAGAGAGTATATCAGCGATTTTATTTTTCTATTTCTAATAATAATACAGTGCCTTATTTGCAATTTATAGATTGTCTACTTGTAAATTTTACGATTTTGTTTTTTTTAATCCATTCTATCTTATCAATTCATATTTTCTTGATCGACTTGTCGTTCTTTGTTTCTCGTCTAAATATTATATCGAACTAATCTTATAATTGATTGAAAATTCATCATAAAATCATTTTCAATTTAATGGAAGCATAATTCGCGACATAATATTGTGGCAATTAAAAGCCATCTCCCCATCTCACTTAACTTAAACAAGTACAGAATTATAATGATTCCGTAAATTACCGAGATAATTAATAATTTACGTTCGCTTTGATTTTTACCATGAGTCAAATTAATATTATAAAACAGATAGAGAGAGAGAGAGAGAGTGAGAGGGAGAGAAAAGTATGAGAGAGAGAAAGTGTGTGTGTGTGTGTGTGTGTGTGTGAGAGAGAGAGAGAGGGAGAGAGAAAAGTGTGTGAGAGAGAGAGAGAGAGAGAGAGATTTTTTGTGATCTTGGTCATTAAAATCGAGATCTAAATATCGTTGATTTTACCACTGTTGTAACTGGGCCCCTAGCGTAAAAACCTTGAGCCGCGATCTTTCGATCGAAGCTCGTGCGAGTAAACCGAAGCCGTGAGGTCGACAGGCCCGGGCGGCAGATCGGGGCAGCGGGAGGTCCGCGATTGAAAAATGGCGGCTGCGCGTCCCCCGACAAGCCAAACTCTGAGCTCGGGCAATACGTGGTGCTGTGTGTCGGCAGGTGCTGGACGCGAACGAGTGCCAGTACGAGCAGCTGGAGCGATTTCTACTGCTGTGCGCCCACGGCGACCCGGCGACCGATAGCCAGGTGCAATGGGAGATCGAGGTCTGCAAGCTGCCGCGGCTCTCGCTGAATGGAGTGCGCTTCAAGCGCATCTCCGGCACTTCGATCGGCTTCAAAAACATTGCCAGCAAAATCGCCAACGAGCTCAAGCTGTGACTACCGGCCGCGGGTGCGCTTGCCGCTCCTCGCACCAATCCATAACCCGGCCCGACCCGGGACCACGACCGCGAGCCTGAAGGAGCCCGCGCCCAAGTCGAGGAGCTCTACCTCTACTTGTTTTGGATCGAGCGGACCGGCGGCGATGAGGATGAGGCCGATCACGACAGCGACACAGACAGCGATCAGCATCGCGACCACCGCAATGACCGCGACAATATGTTGCGCCCCCGGGGACCGGCCCATGACGAATGGGACGAGGACGAAAACGAGGACGAAGATGGGGACGAGGACGAAAACGGAGACGACACCCAGGAAATTTTCGTCTAACAACGAGCGATTCCAACTCGACCCCTCCCTCCCTGTTCCCGACTCACTCACACTCGCACACTTGACTCCGGCGCCGCCACCACCCCACCCCACGCCCATCTCTCTCTCTCTCTCTCTCTCTCTCTCTCTCTCTCTTCTCCCTCTCTCTCTCTCTCACACACACACACACACACACACACACTTTCTCTCTCTCATACTTTTCTCTCCCTCTCACTCTCTCTCTCTCTCTGAGTAAGCGAGTGAGCGAGCGAATAAGTGAGTGATTAAGACGATGGAGTCGAGTAACGAGTGACGAGGGACGAGGGTCGAAGGACGAAGGACGAAGGACGAAGGACGATGGATGGGTGGCTGAGGTACGGGAACGGGAGACGAACAATGTAACCTGCTCAAGGCCTGTGGATTCATGGCTGAGTCGATGAATACGTATTGAAATACTCCCGAGAGCCAAAACGAACAGTGCAGTGGTTAAAAAGGCCCGCGGCACGAGGCCTCACCCCCCCCCCCCCCCCCCCCCCCCCCCCCCCCCCCCCCCCACCCACCACCCACCACCATATACCAATGACCCGTTCGTTCTCATTCCTCCTTTCGTATGCTTATTTATTCTTATCCTCGAGATTCGGTATTTGTGAAAATACAAGACGATCATTCGGGGCAATTTCTCGGCTGTGGGCGACCTTGCTTGACTGAATAATTAGAGAGAGGAATGCATTCGCGAAATATGTGCAAAAGTAAATGAATGAAACAAATGAAAAAGAATGCCGATTGCATTATGTAAACTTGGTCCTTAAGCTTAACTCAATTTTTGATCGATTATTTGCTTCTCTTTATCTTTTGTGTTCTCCCTCCCTCCTTCCCACTCCCCGCCCCCCTTTTTCAAGATGTATATTCTAAACAAAAAAAAAAAACAAAAAAAAACAAAGACCCTCGCAGAGGGACTGAGATTCGTGATCGTAATTATAGCAACATTTTCATTTATCCTTACAATCGAGAATTGACTATCTGTAATGTCATTGTCAGCGTGTCAATTATTATTGAAGAAAATAACAATAATAATAAATAAATAATAAATAAATAAAATAATAAATAAAATAATTAATAATAGTAATAATAATAATAGTAATAATAATAATAATAATAATAATAATAATAATAATAATAATAATAATAATAACAACAAAAAAGCAAAGGATGAGAAATGATAATCTAGAGACGAACGACCCACGATATGATAATTTCATTGGCGAGAGGAGGAAGAAGACGTTCGCGTGTTCGTTCGGCTTCGGTAATGTGCGAGCGATGATGCAGCAGTTTATCAGTGTAAAAATTACGATTAACAGCAGTATTGTTGTCACTCGGCATCCACAATGAGTCTCGGTATTTACGGTCGTATTGCAAATCGTAATATATTTCATTTGTTTTGCTATAAATAATTAATTGTTGTAAATTTGCCGGAAAAATGAAAATTATTGTGTGTAATGTAGCGACGAGACTATTAGAGAAGGGGGAAGAGTTAGAGCCTGCTGCGACTGTATCATCCGGACTTCATTTTATAGTCGAGGAATTTATTGACACGGTGACTAATTTACGGGTAGGGTTGTACGTGCTAATTAATGTATGATTGGACTCTTTTAAAGAGATTGTAAAAGTTAAAATAAGTTATGAAAAAAGTAAGAATAAAACAATACAGATTAAAATGAAAAATAACTGATGAAGAAAATCTTCGTGTTAACGTGGTGAAAATAAGCAAAAGTAAACTGCGCTAAATCGATGTATTAAATAATAAGAGCTAAATACGAGTAAGCAGTTGTCGATTAAAACGTTATTTTCAAGTCGCAAATTGCTCGCCTATCGATTTGACTGACATTATTACGCATCATTTACTGGCGCGTCGTTAACGCTAGCGCCAAAAGTATATTGATTATATTCTTGGATACTATATAGATTTTGAGGGGGCGGGACCGGGTGGAGGGGGTGTGTGAAAAATATGTAAACACATTTTCTTACGAATACATAATTGATTAATTCAACAATAAACAGCCCCTACAATATTTTTTGTATATTTTATGAAAATTTTTTCTTTTTAACACAACAATGATTAACATGATGATAATTAATGCGGTGAGGCAACGGTGTCTAACGAGATAATTCATACCGAAGAACGTAGTAAAGAAAGTATTTTTAAGTCAAATCAATAGCCCGGCTATTTGTTACCAATAAAAAAAAAGAAAACGACTAATTATAAAAATTTTCGATCATTTTTATGATGCTTTAATTTTTTATGTACACTACAAGTTCGCAGTTACACAGCATTATACACATTAGAGACAATTTATTGATGATAATAATAGTTATTATTATTGCATTATTATTATAAAATAATTATAACTAAATACAAGTCAAAGGCGATGTATTATAATAAAGTTGGGAAGGAAGAGATTTATCAATAAAATGTAGAGATTTCGATCGAATATCGAGTCGAACAATTTACGTATGCGAGAGAGCGTGTATGTGTATGTGTATAATCTGGCTGTGTGAGCGTGTATGTGACAAAAAGAATGAGAGAAAGTGAAACGCACTTGAGAACCTGAACAATTACTGCTAAGATCTGCTGTTTCTAGAAAAGATTTAACAATAAATTTAGGTAATACAATCGGCTATATCGTACCCTTTATTCTTCTGCGATTAAGAGTAAAGTGCGACCGATCGAACAAAAATGAAAAAGAAGAAAAGGAGGGAAGAAATAACGAAGGAATGAATGAATGAAAGAAAGAAAGAAAGAAAGAAAGGTCTGGTGGTGTTTTAACGCAAATCGCAGATGGAGTGTAAATATAATAATTGAATAAAGGTACTAGATTAAATGAATACAAAAATCTTTATGTTAAAAGAAAAATTAAGAAACGATTAAGAAAGAAATTACGTACATAATAAAGAGACAACCGCGGCGAGCTTCATCAAACATCAAATTAATCGCCTAAAAACTAATTAACTTTGTTACTATTAGCAAGACTAATTTATTTACATGCTGTACGAAGTTGATTTTTCATATTTCTAATACTTACTATAAACGATCGATTCCATGTAATTCAAGAGAAAAGAAACAAATGAAACGTACAACATTGTAATAAGCAGTGCTGCAAATCGATAAATGACTGATAGCAAATAAGTATTGAAATCTTACGTAAATAACAAAGAAATTCTTATTGAAAAAATAAATAAATAAATAAATAAATAAATGAATAAATAACGGTGTGGATGTCAAAGACACTGCGTGTCACACAATTTTTTCCAATTAAATTATTTAGAATTCAAAGCAACAATGTAAAATAAAGTACCATGTAAATCATATAACACTTCAATATTTTCTGTTAATAATTCAAGTTAATTAAGATACGTTGTAAATCATTTTGTGGTAAAAAATCATACAAATATCGCTTTTGTTTATTTAACGCGTAAGCGGTGCAGTGTATCGAGTACAATATTTAAGCGTTTTTGCGCGACTGTCTCTGTAAATTATCGTTGTAGTAGTGAATATTATTAGCGGTTTATTAGTAAAAAAAAAAAAAACAGAAAAAAAATATCCCTAGTTATATAAATGGTACAGAACCCTTAACATTACGTAGGTAAAGTTATTATTATATTGTTATCTAAAATTGAAGATGATTGACATGACCCATGCCTTGGATGATATGCTTGAACAAAATATTGTATAAATAAATGGAATAGTTCCCATCCAAGCAATTTCATTAGTTAAGTAATACTTATTAATTATACATTGACAATTAATATTTCAATGGCTCGATAAATAATGAGCAACACTGTCATTTTCCCTGTAGCCACAGTCACAATCAAAATAGGCTTTTATTTTTTTAATTTTACTTTTATTCACTGCGAGCAATTCATTGGTTTTTTTCTTCTTTATTTATTTATTTTTTTTTTGTTCTTTCTTTTTTTCTTCTTTTTTTTTTATTTTTTTTTTTTTTTAAGAAAACCGTTCCCCGTACAATCGTTTGCAAAAACTTAAATATTCCTGTCACATATACAAAACTCCCAAACATTCGTTTGTAGATAGCTACGTGAAAGCTTTGCAAAATGTTTTGTGGTGATTGGTATCTATTAGCCAAAATGTAGAAAAATAGTTTATAATAAATTGGTAACACATTGCCTAACAGATATCTTTACAGTTATAGTTGTTACCCGTTATGTATACTTCTATAAAGCATGATTTAATTTCATTCTGAAGTTTATATAAAAATTTAAGGCAAAACAGAGATAGAAACGATCAAAGCATTTAGAATTATATAATCTATACAAATAAATATTATTAATAATAAACATAATAAAGAAGCTCATAAATGAAATATTGTCTAACTCTTAAATTTGAAGAAGAAAAAAACAAAAAATTATTTATATATATTTGTCTTTACAAATATAGTATTTATCTTAATAAACCCTTTTATTTATTTAAAGTATATATATTTTTGAGAGATATTTACTATCCTTGTTTTGCCTTAATATTTGCTTAATTTAATTTTCTTTCAAAAGCAATTTTTATTCTCAAATACTCATTTCTTTTTAACTTATCGTATTACATTAACTATTCACGACAATTACTTTTTAATTTTTATTCGTATTTATATATGCTATAACTTTACTCTTTTTATCTGTCATAAAAAATTCAAAAATTTAATAAATTCATCTAATGCAATGACTTACAAAAAAAAAAAGAAAAAGAAAAAGTCATATGGATGACTGGTGGTGGAAAATTGCCAAATGGAATTCTACGAGCGAAAACATAATTTAACATTAAATTTTTAATATTTTGTCGAGTGGTAGCAGTTTCAAATCAAATGTTAATGGAAGTCGTTGGAATTATAATGGCCTTGAGCATTAAATTGCGCGCTTTCATAGACAATCCAAGGGTTTTTAGCCAAGAAACATAAAAGGGGACAGGGGGTATCTAAAATCGAACGCTCAAATTTTTTTTTCTTTTTTTTTTCATAAAGGTAAATTAAACACAAGTGGTCAATGCCTTTAGAAACTAATTTTTTAGCAGCCAATTAAACTGGACAATCAGCGATCCAGGCTGGTATTGTCCAACAACTCCTACAGTATGTACGCTCGAGAGTTGCGGCAAGTTGGCCACCAGATGACTCTGTCTCCCGGCCCAGAAGACTTCGTTACGTCAATAGCGAATTCCTAAATCTACATCGTTATAAGCAATATTATTTTTGAGAATGCAGTGTAGCGGATTCGAGGCCATAATATTATGTGGATCGAGCTCTGCTGTTACATTTTTTTTTTTTTTTTTTTTTTTTTTTTTTTTTTATAATAACAATGCTCTATCCTTGTATATTTCATCAAACCAAACCGATCCTGTCACTTTGTCATTGGAGAATGTAAAAGAAACTTTCCGAGTCATTGTCGCCATTTAGCCCGAGTTAAATATATTTTACAATATATCAAAGTTTCTCGTTTTCAGCGAAGTTGGTGCGATAATTTGATAATGACTCGATAATGAAATCATTCGACTTGTACGGAGTCGATTTATTTAACGATTCCCCGAAATATTTATACATTCGGACGATAGCTTGTATTTTTTTTTTTTTTTTTTTAAAAATTCGTATTTTAACTAAAATCTGTAATAATTGTATTTGATAAATTTTGCTTGTTTAATGAGATATTTTTTAGAATAACTCGGTCGATCTTATAAAAGCACAGACATTTAGCCGGTTATTTATCCTAAAAGTTTTATGAAATTTGCATCGTTAGAGCTGTATTTTAATTTAAATTATTAATATCAAGTACATTATTATTATTATCTCGTGGACGATACAAATGTCAGATAGATGGAGTAAATCGACTAAAACTAAAAAAAGGTAAAGCGAGATTTGCTTAAAGCATATGACCTGTTATCATAATTACATTGAATGCCCTTTTCCATAAAAATTATATAAACATCTCTAAAATACAGTAGGCCAGCTAATTGAATGTGAAAAGGTATTAATATTAAAATTAATCGTTAGATTATAATTATTACGAATTATCAGAGTATGAGAATCTAAATTGGTTATCTTATGCACAGGGTCCTTGGAATATTCTACATTTAAACTTCAAATAATGGCAAAATAATGCTGTAAATTGGCGAATATCATTTAACGTAAAGTGCATTTTATGAATGTTTACGTAGGCAAGATTATTATCTCATCTCTCTTTTATTTATCGCTATCAAAGAATCATACATAATTTAATTGAATAGTAGTAATGTCGACGATCATTGGTCTCAAATTTTTTAGTTTTTCACGTTTCATATTTATTAACGTATACAACTGCTGTGGGTTATAATGATTATTATGTTGTTGTCAATAAGACATTTCGTTGTCTATTGATACATTCGTAAGGGCGAACCATTGATTGTGACGTAAAGATGATTATGTGCATGTTCATGGTATTGTAGTCAATTTACACTGATTAGTTCGTAATAACACAAGAGTTGCTGTACCAGTATTGCAAAATAAAAAAAAAAGAAAAAAAGAAATTATTTATAAGTTAAATTGTAAAATTTGGATAAAAGGAAATAAACCTCAAATCATAATAATAACTATTAGAAATACGAGGATCGGGACTCGTGATGATGATTTGAAATTGTTTCGTGGATATATTATTATTACATAATGTGTCGTTTAATTTAGAGTCCGAGAAATTTTACTGTTTGTATAAGCTAATTTTGGGTTTAAATGTCGACGAAATTGCCGATTAAATATGAAAAATCGAAAATCGAAAATCAAAAATGTTATTATAAACATAGTTCGTTAATAAAGCATTCAGTTCAATATAAAAAAAAACTTTGTTTTATAAATGGGAAATTTTCTTTTTCGTGTTTCTACACTATTGATTATATTAAATATTATATATTATTAATCAACATTTACATTTGAATAACCGTCAATTAATTAGTAAATAATGAGTAAATTTCATCTGAATTTCGTCTATATTACAAATACGTCTATATGCAATATATTATGAACAATGATATTGTAGTGAGATTAAAGAAAATTAAACGAGCAAGTAACGAACAAATTTTTTTTTCGAACTCATTGTTATAATAAAGTTGTTAACAAAAGTTATTAGTAAAGCGATGAAAATAATAATTAGAGCGAGTAGAGTATCTGTCGATAAGCAGATATTATTTGAAATTATTTTAAATGCTCAAAAGTATTTTAATAATTATATCGCATTATTGCTTATTTATCATCGCCCATTGCATTCGCGTCGTAATACAATGACATTAATAATAATTGATATGACTTTACTCAATAATAATCCAATACCAAAGCTAATTGTTTTGTTAATAAATAACATTTACAAAGCATAGTTTCGCACATGTAGATAATAATTTTTATATAATATGGCCTATTTACAAAAAAATTGAAAAGTATATATTTTTATGCCACCAAACACACTTTAATAATGAGATAATTATAATCATTTAGAATTAAAATTAACGGTCAAATATTAAAAAGCATTTAAAATAAAAATTTCTTTTTTTTTTATCAATTTTACTGGATACTACTGCAATTATTGTTTATCGTGTATATTATGCTCAATATAAATAATTTTAATTTACATTATATAGAAAAGAAAAAAGAAAAGAAAATTTTATAACTTGTATTGTAATAAAATAATTATGTACTTAACTATATTTAACAGCTTGACGTTAAATTATTATTATTATTTTCTAGCTTATGATAAATACTAATGATGTGAGATCATAAAAATTATACAAAAAATATAAACAATAGCAACAAATACATTACTTACTACAAGTATTACGATACGTTTGCTATATACTTTTTGGTATTTATGGTTATTCTCATGAGTGTCAAATAATCATAATATATATATATATATATATATATATATATATATATATATATATATATTATATATATGGTAAACAAAGATTTATTGATAATCATATAAATTACAGAACGTTTTCAGATATATATTTATCAAAATACTTTAAGATATTTTGCATTTCTGGATAAACCGCCAAGTTGCATGCATCTTCTAAAGTAAGCCACTTAAAATCTTGGTGTTCGTGTGACAATGTAACTTCTTTATTTTTATTTAGAATTTCTGCTAACCAATAAACTACGACTTTCGGTTTCTTATCAACAAGGTAACTTATTTCTTGCTTAACACTCTCAAATATTTTCATATCCTCTTTCAAATATCCAGCTTCCTCTTTTGTTTCTCTTAATGCCGTTATCATATCCGTTTCTCCAGGATCAACGCGACCTTCAATAGACAATAAATTTCGATTTTATATGGCCAAATTCTTTCTAGAAATTCTCTAGAAATCTATGTAGATCTCCATGTGTGTATGTTCATGTATCTCAATGTGATTAGATAATTTTTTCGAAAATGAAAAATACACTTTTTACAATTAATAACAATAAATGATTTTTTTTTCGTCCAATTTAGACTTTGTAGTTTTGTTTAATCGATTATTTTATTGATGTTGCATAGTTTTGAAATACTACGAATATGGCAAAATATATGCATTATCGATCAAATAATCTTAAAATTCGTAAATTTAAAAAAGTTTTTAATGCAATTTTAATTTAAAGATGATGTAAATAGAAATGTTATTGATTAACAAAATTTCATTTTCAATTAAATATTGCTTTTCGTTTAAAAGTAATGTGTTTAAGTGTCTATTATGAAAAATAAATAAAACTCTTTACTTTAATGATGGTCTTAAAATTAGAACGATTAAATGATTTTTATTTTATTGTTAATTTTACTGTTGTATTTTATTGTATTATATTAAATGATTGTTTATTATATATAAGTTATAAGAAAATACATAAATAAGTTTGATTTGAAATAAATTTCGTACAAATGAATAAATTATAGTTTTTGAAAGAGATTTCCACATTGTTTCCATAAACTTATCAACAAATATTTTCTAGACGTATTTCTATAAAAATTCCAAATAATCCGTAATATTCATTCATCATTTACTTATCATTGAAAAATATTTTATTCGTTTTCAAGACATTTAAATCCACTCGTTCTACGATTAACGTAACTCGATTTCGTCTCGTATTTATATGTAACATAATTATTAAAAGATTAAAAATTGCACAAGGCAATGGCATAATATTCTTGATAATAATTCACATTTCAATCTTATTAAATAATCGAATGACCGTTTAATAAATTGTTGTTAAACGTATACATTTTGACACTTGGGTAAAATAAACGCATGCTCGCTCAACTATAATATGGTCTCACTTTTTTATTCTACTCCGTAATTTTCGTTTGTTTAATTTTGTTTCGCTTATAAAAGCATTTATTCTCGTCGAGTGTTGTTCAATAAGTTGAGCAATTTTAACGATTTGCTCGCCATGATGACGAATACAAAAATTAAGTGTTTCTGAATTGTCCACATCTGTTACTTATACCTTTCGGTGGTGTCCAGTGATGTTTTCCGTAAGACGTTTGCATTAATAAATACTCAATTTTTCCACAAAATTGGCGGAAAATTACAAAGCCACAAGCTCGAGTTGCCATGATCTATTCTTTACATGCACTTTACGTTCGGAGAATTTTCCTCTACAATTCTAGTTCTCTATTGGATTTTATTTACAATAATTTAATTTGAAATTTTACATTAGTTGTAGGTTAGTTACATGATATTACGGATCCGCCAATCATAAGTCTGATGTACTACTAAAACTAATAAAGTAAAAAATAAAAAAAAAAAAAGATATCAACGTGTTTCGATTATTTCAACGACAGATGGCCACACAATCGCCTACAATAACAAATATTTTAAAATGTGTTATTTGATTTTTCTGTTGGTAGAAAAATTGAATATCATTAAATTATCATGCTGTTTGCAAACATTATTGATTGTTAAATAATTATGCAATTGCCATTAATCGTATAGGCCATTAATATTACGTTATTAACATTAATGAATAAAATTTAAGTATTTGGAAATTTAAGTAAAATTATTGTTTTATACGCACGATGATGATATATACTTGTGTTAATTTAAGAATCGGTATTGAAATTTGAAAAATCGTTAAAATTAAATAAGAAATTTAGAGAAAGTTTAGTATTGCCAGGAATACAAATTTTATTAACTAAGATAAATTGCGCATTGCGCATGAGACATGTACGCGTGCAGAACTATCGGCTTAAGGTAATTTTAATTAAAATATCGAGGCCACTTATATTTGCAGAAATTTAATTATAAATAAAAATATGAATATAGTAAATCACGATGAAAGTATAGCACGATCGATTCAAGATCAGATAAACTGCATTGGCATTACGGAGAATGCTATTTTCCCAGTGCAGGTTAGTTTATTATTTGTTTTGATATGCATTGATCTTAAATGCATCGCGTAAATGCGTTTAGAAACATTTTTTCAACGATTTCAGAAAGAAAAGGAGAATTATCGCCCCAGGACATTGATCGATGAATCACTGGAATACATAGATCCAACGCCAAATATTTATACACTCTTTGTTCAATTTAATAAAAGATTTTTTTGGAATGCTTTACTTCCTGTACAAGTGAAATGGAGTCCAAGAATGACTTCGTAAGATTTGCCTCTCCTAAAGCATCTACTATATTAATTGAAGTTTATCGAATTGCCTAAAATTTTATGTTTTCTATAATAGCTGCGCGGGCATATGTACATTCCATCCAAGAAATAAGGAATGTATCATTTCACTAAGTAGTCCGTTACTTAAATTAAGACCAAGAAAAGATCTAATTGAAACCTTACTGGTATAGTAATATAATTTACTTGTTTCTTTTTTTTCATCTATTTTTATTTTTTTACCTAACATTTTTATTCTTTCGCAATATAAGATAATTTTATTTTACTATATGTACTTTATTTTCAGCATGAAATGATACATGCTTATTTATTTCTTACTAATAATAACAGAGATAGAGATGGTCATGGTCCAGTATTTAAAAGTCATATGAACAGAATTAATGTAGAAGCAGGAACCAATATAACCGTAAGACATGTCTCTTAATATTTATTATTTATTGTGTCATTGATTTTAATAACAATTAATTTTGAATAGATTTATCACACTTTTCACGAAGAAGTTAGATTATACCAGCAACATTGGTGGAGATGTAACGGTCCATGTCATAATAGAGCACCATTTTTTGGCACCGTTAGAAGGGCCATGAACCGTGTTCCTGGTCCAAATGATTTTTGGTGGAGCGACCATCAAAGAACATGCGGCGGCCAATTCATTAAAATAAAAGAACCAAAAAAAACTGAAGGACAAAAGAAAAATAAAAGAGCCGCACAGACAACCGTGAAAAACAATATATTCAATTGGGTAAAAAAGATTGATAAAAATGAAGATAAGCCAAGTGAACGAACTATATCTAAAGTATATAATACACCAAAAATAACAGATTTAAAGAATGTTAATAACAATTTGGGTTCAAATATTCAAACGGATATTAAAAAACTTGGTAATAATACTAATAATGTACATGGATGGGGAACAGGAGGCCCTTGTAGTACCGATGATAATTATAGTAATTCTATTATTAGTAATAAAATTAACTCTGGTAATTTGTTGAAAAATACTAATTCAAGAATTTCATTCTCTGGTGTTTTGGGAGGCAACGGTAGCGGGAAGAGTATTCTACTTGATAAATTTTCCAATACATCAGCAACTAAAACTTTATTAAAAAATACTAATGTTCAGTCAAACTTAAATGAAATTAGTTTGTTTAAAAACTGTGAAAAAAATTCGAACATTCAAAAGCAATATGCAGAGAAAGGCGAGGACGCTGTAGTGACATGTCCAAATTGTAATAAATCGGTTAATGAATCAAAAATTAATCACCACTTAGATAATTGTCTTGAGAATTCAAAAAGTTTACAAATTATACAAAATAGCACGAACAAAGAAAAAATGCACAAAAATGATTTTACATCTAATAAGATATTTAAAAACGAGAATAAATCAAATTCAGTAAAAATACAGTGTCCTTTATGTCCAATGAAGGTGGAATCAAATAATTTTAATGAACATTTAAGTAATTGCTTTCGTACCGATACAGATGATACAATTTCTGATGAATCGATTCATAATTCCAGCTACAGTTCCATTACTAGTAATAAAAACACTTCCAATAATTTATTAAACAATAATAAAGCAGCACCATCTTCCACCGATACTTTGCAACATATTGATTCAGGAAAAAGTATTGCCTTGAATAAACGTTGCGATACATTTACAGCTGGTGCTTCATCAAAAAATAGTTCTCTTACTCGATCAACGATTAATAATAATCATGATAAATCAGCAAAAGATTCAATGTCAAATCAAGATTTATTTGATTTTATAATAAGGGTGACATGTCCAAATTGTAATAAGTCTGTAGACGAGCCCAAAATTAATCATCATTTAGATATTTGTCTCGCGACATCAGAAAATCAAGAAATGTCTGGCGGTAGCTGCAATAAAAAGAGAAAAAACGAAGATAATTATACGTCCAAGAAAATGTTTAAGAACAAAACTAAATCAACTTTAAGGGAAAATGTGGAGAAGCCGACGCATAATAAATCAATTGATGAGGCTAATTCTACTTTAAATACTTCAAACAATTCTCATATTTGCATAGTTTGTGATAAATTATTAGAGCCTACTAAGAGTTTAAGCGATCACTTAGAAGAATGTGTTGCGTCGATATTTAATGATTTCGGTAATGATGATACGATTGCATCTACGAATGATGAAAACCAAGTTTTAGAGCATTTTCCTTGTCCAGTGTGTATGGCGCTAATCGAAGCGACCCTAATGAATGATCATTTGGACGTTTGTCTTAATAAAATTGAATAATGTTAGACTATCTTTAAGTTTCTGTTTTAATAGATTACAATAGTTTTATTTAACTATTGAATATCTTTTTGTTCCTTGTACTTACTGTTTAGAACGACTTATATTAGTTTTTATATAATGCATGTATTATTTATTTTTCTACAAGAATATTAAATATTAATAGAAGAATTGAAATGGGTATAAGCGAGTATTTATTTTATCCACTTTTCTTTTACTTCATATGATTTATAACTTATACAATTAAATTATGAATAATTTTAAAGATTACATTGCGACATAATATATTTAATATAAACGGGCGCATGAAATTTAATTACATGAAATTTTAAGTCATTTTATCAGATAAAAATATTAAAAATTAAAAAAAAACATTTTATTAATTTTTAAACGCTTTTGAGCATTTTGTTTTAGAGTGTTGATACAAAAGGCTTATCTTCTATATTAACAGGCTCCTTATGATTTGACAGTATTAAAAGATTAGTGAATTTAAATTAATTTTTATCTAATAGAATTTTCTATGAGAATCCCACATTGTAATATAATAATTTAAAATCAAGTATTTGTTAATTGTTCAAATCGAATCAAATTTAAATATCAATTGCATTTTCGGCAAATCCAAATGCAGTGATCAATTACAAATTAGTAAAATTTACTAAAAATAATCAATGACAATTAATCTAAATGAATTGCAATTTTAAACTCATTAAAGCGTGTTTAACGAAAATTATTGTCCATTCGTTTCAAATTGCCTTATGTCGTGCATTATGTAAATCGATCGGTTATAATTGAGAATTTTTATTAGGTATTTGTATGTGCAGTATATGTAATGTGTAAGCCAAGATTAAATGTCATGTACGATCGCATTTTGATACGATTTTAACTTTGTCCCGGCAAAAAGTGAAATTTCCACATTGCAAAATCAACTTTCTCTAATAATTTATTTGTATAAATTAAAATTTGTTTAATTCCCACCATCGAAGAGAGAGAGAGAGGAATTCATTTTTTCTTTAACCTTAATTTTGATTAATAACTTATTTCTTATTATGTTCAAAAAGTTAAAATAAACATATTCACAATGATCATTTAAACAAAAGAACTAAAATGTCTACTACTACAACTACTACTGTAAACTAATAATTATAATCATAATTGTAAATATTAGCCGTGATAAATAGAGAAATATCCTTTTTGTATATAAATAAAAAGAAATAATCATAATCATAATAATAATAATAATAATAATAATAATAATAATAATAATAATAATAATAAAAGAGACGATTAAAATTAAAATAAATAAAATTTTTCAATACAAAATTAATGAATGGAATTTTTCTTTTAAGAGTATTTAAATAATTATAATGACTTGTGTAAAAAGCTATAAAATTTTATTACTACTAGCGACAAAATTTTCCTACTATTAAAAAAACCAATAGAATAAATTATGAAATTTTATTGCTATTAAATTTTGTATTAAAAGGAATTTTAATCTGTCATAAAAAAACAAATTCAATAATATGTTATTAGCAAATATTTCCAAGTTATGAATTAAACATATTTCACGTAAATTTCAATTTTTCTTTGCGTATTGACGTAACGAAACATTTGTAAAAATTACAATTTCTCTAATATATTATAAATATACATTATAAATAAATATAAGGAATCATAATGAGATACGAAGAATGGGAATTAAAAAATTTGACTGCTAATTAATTAAATATACATGTTAATAGCTAATATTAACGTTTCTTTACATTAAACAAACTTCTTATAAACTTTAATGAAACATATTAACATGAATTATGAAAGCGAAAAGTTGAAGATTTAAATGCTATCCGTTATTAAATTAGTTCGATTAAAATTATGGATTAATTTAATTAAAAATAAAAATTGTACTACGAACATAAATTTTTTTTATGATTGACATTTAAATATTGCATATTTTTCGGTTTAAAAATAATATTGTTAGAAAATCTTTGAAAAAAAAAAACGGCTTATGCTGCAGCAACTAAAACAATATACATAATAGAATATTGTTGTATTAACGAATGTACTAAAGATAATTTATTAATTCGCATTTTGTTATTAAAATAACGAAAAGTGCCGTTATAATAATAAAACGAATAAAAAAAAAAAAAAAAAAAAAAAAAAAAAAAAAAAAAAAAAAAAAAAAAAAAAAAAACGAATCACATATTATAACTAATGTAAAACATGGAGACTTTGAATGCAGATAAATATGTGATATTATTCATTTTATTCCCATTTGTCGACAAAAATATAACAATAAATGTAGATATGGGCATATGGACATACTGTAATACATGTGATACACGCGCAGGTATTGTGTGATCACAATATTGCCATCTGGTTATCTTATTCATATAATAATAATCGTGTGTGCAAGAAATCATTTACACAATCGGTAGTGAAAAAAAAATATTAAATCACCTAATGCACCGTTGAATTCTTTATGAAATTACAAAAATCTACATTATTTAATCATTTATTGCAAATCTCTATTGAAACCAAAATTTTATGGCAAGCGCTGGATATAATTGAGTTTTTAATGATATTAAACTATGTTAGGTATATATTGCGCTTATCGCAAAACATATTTGTTTTCAAATTACAAGATTAAAAATAAAATTATTATTAATGAATCTTACATATTAAGTTACATATCAAATATTCATGTTTTATCGTCCTAAAAATGTGTGTTAAGTAAGAAAAATATGTGTAAAGTTTAAAAATAAAAAAAAAAAATAGAAAAATAATAAATTACTATTTTCACGCTTTAGAGCTTCAAGTTTTAATTATTTTCTAACAATTTAATCGTAAAATTTCATGGTGCTTTTTAGCTTCGAGCGCTCTGAGCCTTTCAAATTTTTGCCTAAATGTATTAACAAGTGGATGACGGTATTCTGATTACGAGCAATGGAAATATATTTTTGATGTGCGTTATGCGTTATTATTATGAATAATAAATTGAATTAAAGGATCGATGTATATTGAATTAATGTTGAACTATGAGCGACGGCAGAACAATTCGTAAACAGGACATTGGAAAATTAATAGTGGCTCGTTTGATAATTTACTTTTATTATTATTCGTTGAGACGCTGATACTTTCGAGAAGACGAAAAGAAACAAAAAAAGAAAAAAAGCATTCTTCATCCATTTGTACGATAATATATACGAATAATAATAATAATTTTACTTCAAAAACTCGTTGTCTATCGATGAAACATTTAGTTTGTAAATTGCATGTACATTTGTACCGTTTTAAGAGGTCACGTACATGTTAACATTTATTCGTAAAATATTGTTAGGGAATTAAATTTTTCACTTTGATAAAATATTTTTTAGATTGAACAATGTAATGCGTGGAATTAGTAAACTTCAATTGCTATTGCAAAAATGACGAATAGAAAAAATTTAATAACAATTGTTCGATTTTGTTTATACCAGACATTCGTAATGTACCGACCTGACTTTTAGATATCAATACTGGTTTTTTTTTTTTTTTTTTTTTTTTTTTTTTTTTTTTTCAAATAGATCAATGAATCAAAATGTACATTTCAACAGATTTATTAGTAAATAAAAATGAAACTCGTTTATTTAGATTATTTGAATAATAGCTCGAGTAATAAACTGACTATATGGATTTTTAGTTGATGCCAACACAATGGCCATAGTAACGGCCGTACTTTAAGCAAATACAATAAAACGATAATTAGCCTTATATTTTCTAATGAAAATAAGAATTAGAATATTGCTGCTTTGATGTGAACTTAAAATAGTCATGCGTTACGCCTCCACATACACGATATCTATATTTTATCAAAAATCTCCACCTTTATATGCTGCCATTTTGTTTGTTTGTATTTTTTTTTTTTTTTTTTTTTTTTTTTTTTTTTTTTTGTTTTGTTTTCGGAATAAGTACAAAATACAATGTGATCCGTCCGGGTTAACTACTTTACTTTAAATTAATTCAAATACCGCTAATGCGATAATATTTATAATCAACATTTCGATGTACAAGTATTCTGTTTAGTTTTGTCCTACCGCTGATAATAAGCAAACTACTGGTTAAAAAGAAAAAAGAAAAGAAAAGAGAAACAAAAAAAAACAATTAATACAGGTTAAAAATATTATGAGCATCGGTTACGAATTTTAAATCAATTATGGTAACAAAGGAAATATTAACTATTCAATTGGGGCATTACGCAAACTTTGTGGGCACACACTGGTGGAATCTTCAGGTATTTTAATACGAAAAACACGTGGACGATTAGAGTTCTAGGAAATGCGCGTTAGAGTTTACATTAGATGTTATTTTAATGTATTATTACACATTTAATATCTCATATTTGTATGCGTTAATAGTGTAAAATTTCAATTTTAATAAAAAAAAAGAATTAAAAAAATAATAATAATAATAATAATATTACGTTCTTTATATCGTTCTTGATAATATGGTTAATTTTCGTAGCGGTAAGATTAAACTTAGGCCGATAACAAATTTTTTTTTAAGCACTTTGTAAACATTCAATTATTTCAAAAACTTAATATTATAGAAATAGTAATCGAATAGGAAGAAAATAAGCGTGTCATAGGATTATGTTTTATGAATCTTTAGAAAATTCATTTTTAAACGTTAATCGTGAAAATTTATATGAATTTTCGCCTTATTATATACAATTATTTTGTATAAAATGAATGAATAAAAAAAAACAATTTATCTTATGAAAATAAAATTATAACATAAATTTTCAATTTATGTAAATGTCAAGATAAATCGAAATATACAATTGCAAAATACATCAATGTAAAGCAGATTGTAGGCAACTTAAAGTTAAAAACTTAAAAGTTTTTTCTTACTCAATTTGCACATTAAACTAATGTATTATTCTTTATTTAAATTATTCTTGATTATAAAATTCACATTTATCTCATTATAAAAATGAAATTATAAAATAATTTATTGGTAATTATTTTATTATTTTTAATTTAATTCAATTATACATGGAATACAAATTTTTATTCAGGAAACAAATTTTTCTTATGATCCTGCTAATCCATCGGAAATTAATCCTGATGTTTTATACAGGGAAGGCGAATATCAGAAGGTGATTAAATTTATCTTTTAATACATACAAAATATAAAACTATATCTATTTTGATTAATATATATATATATATATATATATATTTTTAGAGAGTAACTTTCACACCAAGATTATTGATCGCTGACCTTAAAGGTACATTAGGATATTTGAGCGACCAAGGTAATTTATCGGAAATTTTACACCAAGGTAACAAAGAGATACCGGAAATTTTATGGGAAGAAAATCGACTAGAAACAATTGCAGAACCAGATGCGATTAAACCGAATTTTGTGAAAACATTAGATCAGGAAAATAACGATGAAACAAATAGTTCAGCTAATTTTGAAGACGATATAAATAAGTGGGTGGATTTTTTAATACCGCGCTTCCATTCTAGAACAGTCAATGTTCTCACAGACTATGAGCATGGCTCCACCACTCGACCTTTCGACTTGTTTACTTACGGGCAAACTCTTTGGAACACTAAGAAATTTGCGGATGACTTTACAGACAGGATAAGGGCTTACGTCGAAGAATGCGATTCTATGCAAGGCTTCCAGGTAACGACAACAACAATATCGATAATAATATAGTTGAATGTAAATTTAATTTTCACTTATTAAATTTTCAATTATTAAATTTAATATTCATTTGGGTTTAGGTACTTATCGATGGGGACAATGGCTTTTCAGGATTGGGTACTAGTTGTATTCAATATTTAAGAGACGAGTATGAAAAAAGTATTTTAACTTTTCCTGTAATAGATATTGCGTGTAAAGAACCATCGTTAGCTGATTATGCGAAAGTAATCAACACAACGCTGTGCTGGCAACATTTAGGCGAATTTTCGTCGCTATTTAGTCCATTATGCTGTGATGCAAACGGTTGGCTCACGCGTGGTAAACCACGAAATTTCAAAAATCTTACGTACAAAGTTGATCTTAAGTATCATACGAGTTCGTTATTGGCAACCGCTTTAGATACCCTAAGCCTAAGATATAGAAATAAAAAGTACCCTATGGCAACATTGTCTGATCTCTGTGCGGACTTAAATAAGCTGGGTAGAAAGGCTGTAGCTACAAGTTTGAGTTTACCATTTCCCATACATGCAAATAAAGATTTAATCGACGTATTGGATGGTCTTGAAGGGACGTTTCCATGGACTACCATAACGCCCGGCTGTAATATAAGCATGAATAACAATATGCAAAGTCTAGCACTACGAGGCATTCCAGAGTGTCGTCTAAAACGTCCGTTAAAAGATGCCAAGGAACAAATGGAGAAAGTAGCGTACCGATGCTCAACGGTTCACGAAATGATGAGTCTCTATTTAGATTGTTCTTGTCACTCTTCCGCTTCATACTTATGCTCTATAGAACAACCATTAAAGATTAAAGATCCCTATCCAAAAATATTCAATAGTAATGTCTCGGAGGATGGAAATATTTCAGATCAGTCTAGAATCGGAGGTAACGAAAAATTAATTATTGTTAAAATATAATTCTTGCTTGGTGGTTTTAATCGATTGACTAACTATTCTGTTCTAGATGTTAAAAGTGTAGCAGTTATGGCTGGCTTACACACAGGCAAATTTGTGGCTGAAATGTACGAGTCTCTTTACAAGCACGTCACAAAAATTAAAAGCATAAATAAATTTCATGCTTTCCCGGATTCAGGATTAGAAGAGGACGATTTTCAAGAAAGCGTAAATAATCTAATGGATTGTCAGGAAAATTACAAAGATCAATAATAATATTGAATGTAAAGAGACAAAAAAAAATGTATAAATAAAATTATTATTTTATTAAACAAAAAATTTATAATGCATGCGTATGTACGTACGTGCGTGCGTAAAACATTTCAAATTATAAAATATTTACATTCTGTTATTGAATAGATTATTTGAAAGAGAAAGAGAGAAAGAGAGAGAGAGAGAGAGAGAGAGAGAGATAAAAAGTAGTAAAAAAGATAGTTAATCATAATGGTATGGTAAAAAAAGTATTAAAACCTTTCAAGATTAATAAAAATAAGAACGAAAAAAATGAATTAAATTACAGAATTATCCATATCGGGCTGTGTGCGGTTATAATATGCAAGTTGGATGTTAAGTTGTGTTGGAAACGTGTCACCTATCAGTCATGCACACGTGGAACGTATATCACGAAAAGGGGCGGTATTTATCAGAACGTACCGTTAGACTCTATTAATAGTGATTTATGTTTTAAAAGTGTAAATATGCTAAGCCCTATTAGTATTTGTAAAAGTATCCGACATTGTTGGTCGGTCAATAGAAACAGAACAGCCTGACCCGAGGATACAAGAAGTTGTAGATATACGATTAATCATAGCTTGACTCGTTTATTGCCTCTGATATACGAGCAACTACGTTGCAAGTACGTAGTTGTATAACCGTGTGACTGCGTAAATGCACGTCGACGCAACGAGTGTGTTTGTGTTGATAGATATATATTACATAGTGCAGTCGTGCTCTACTCAGCTGCTGATGCGCGAATTGACAGTCAATTTAAAAAAGTCACGAAACGCAAGAATGCACGTTGATTACTGTACATTTTCATAATTTAATTGATCATTACTAATGATCACGGTATTTTCAATAAAGTATTACGAATCTGACGCCACGACTTTTCTGATAAATGCAATGAGAGCGATATGGCCAGACTCGAGATGATGAGATTCGAGGGTGTCCGTGTCAAAATGTTACAAAAAGCAGGTCTACTGCTATTTGTCTTCTCCATCGTTTTGGTGAACGGCAATTATTTTGGGACCAATCAACACAAGACCGATCAATGCTTCTGCAAGGTGATTATCATTTCGTGTTATTTTGATATTGATTTTAAATTGTTAATCGCCCACTTATCAACATAACCTTTGGCATTTTGTGTACATGCTCGTGCAAATGTTAATTGCATTATTATAATGCATAATACAATGTTCGACTTAATCTATGTGAATTAATGAGTTTCTTCAGAGTTTGATACTTTTTACTTCCTCGTACCAACAATCTCGAGTGTTTTGAATTCTCAAAAATCTCATTTTTTATTTTATTAATGTCAAATTTCTATTAAATATTTATATATATATATATATATATATATATATATATATATATATTAAATTTTTAAGATATTGTTGTTTTATTTTTATAAGAATTTGTCTTTTCTTTCATTGTAGTTGAATGGTGCTATCGACGATTGCAATTGTACTGTTGACACAGTAGATTATTTTAACAATGTTAAAGTCTATCCGAGACTCCAGAGTCTTCTAGTCAGAGACTATTTTAGATTTTATAAGGTTAATCTTATGCAAGATTGCCCATTTTGGGCAGACGATAGTAAATGTGCTATTCGCTTTTGTCATATTAAACCGTGCCAAGACGTAAGTTTTTATGATAATAATTCTCAATTCGCTATTCAACATATCATTCTGTAATTACGCCTATGTAAATATTCATTGAAATGTTGAAATTTGTAGAAAGATATTCCAGTTGGATTAAAAGGCGAGCTTCCAAGAAATATACACGTTAACGAAAGCCCTTCTAATAAATATCAAGCCAATTTACAAATAGCCGATTGTGATCAAAATATCCACGATCATAATATAGAATTAGGTTATTTAAATACTACTATAAGGTAAGTCACCGCAGTACAGATATTATATACATAACGATTAAAAATAAAATTAATATATGCTTCTAATACAGTTCTGAAAATTATAAAGAATTTGAACGATGGCAGCAACATGACGATGCCCAAGATAATTTCTGTATTACGGAATTGGATACGGGAGAGTATGTTGATTTACTTTTAAATCCAGAAAGATATACCGGATATAAAGGACATAGTGCCCATAGAATATGGCGTAGCATTTATATGGAAAATTGTTTTAGGTATAAAACATTACTTGAAAATGTAATAATTCAGTTGACATTTATATTGAATATTTAATTATTGATTATTCGTTAAAGGCCAGATAATTCGCCGCATACTTTTATTCAGTCGTCCAAAATTGATGGTACTATTTATAAAATTATCAAACTAACTAAAATAATTTCATAGAGCAATTTTTGTTATTTTTTAATATATTTTTTTAATTTTAGCTATGTGCTTAGAGAAAAGAGTATTTTATCGGGTAATATCTGGACTTCATACTAGTATAAATATACATTTGTGTTCCAAGTACTTATTATCGTCTCAAGGTCGATTGGAGGTATCTCCCGAAGGACAATGGGGTTCTAATTTAGGAGAATTGCAAAAACGCTTTGCACCAGAGAGAACTGGCGGAGAGGGTCCGAATTGGTTAAAAAATCTTTATTTTGTATATATATTAGAATTAAGAGCACTTGCGAAAGCAGCACCTTATTTACAAAGAGAAGAATATTATACTGGTAATGAAGTTGAAGACGAAGACACGAGATTAGCAATTAATGATATTTTAAATATAGTTAGGTAATTGTCGTTTGTGCATTTAGACTTATGTGCATTTTCGCGAAAATTATAATATTTATATAATAATATTATATAATAATATTTTCGCAAGCATGAACATTTGAATATTTGAAAATTTCAAACAATTTAAGATTTTTTTATATTTTCAATTTAAGGATTGATTAATTTTCATAATTGGAGTACCAGAATTAATTTATTTCATATTTCAATATGCGCTGGATCATATCAGTTGTTTAAATTTTATAAATACAACAGTACTTGATAAAATAATTTTTTAAATATCTATGTTGTTATATATCTATCGAGCGAAACAAAGTTTATTAAAAATCATTAAGAATATCATTAAGAACCGAAACAAGAATATAAAATTTAATATAACAATATATATATATATATATAGTATGCACTCATGCTTATGGAAATATGTATATATGTGTATAATATTTATATGTACAAAAAGTAAACAGTATTATATTTAATTTCTAGAACATTCCCCGAGCATTTTAATGAAAGTGTCATGTTTAATGGAGGAGTGGAAGCTCAAATTTTAAAAGAAGAGTTCAAACAGCATTTTAGAAATATCTCTCGTATAATGGATTGTGTTGGTTGTGAAAAATGTAAATTATGGGGAAAATTGCAAATACAAGGCTTGGGTACAGCTCTAAAAATTTTATTCTCTGGGAAATTTGATAAATACGAGCCAACATTAATGAGTTTTAGTAAGAAACAGTTCTTCCTAGAAAGAAGTGAAATTGTATCTCTAATTAATAGTTTTGGAAGGTAAATATATAACAAAATTTGCCAATTAATTTACTATCGTCAATCAGATATTATAATTTATTTTATTCCTTATAGATTATCAGAGAGTATATTCGAATTGGAGAAGTTTCGTAAATTAATGAGATAATGCAATACTATACAGAAAATCTCTTATTTTTTTATAAGTCTTACTTTTACAAATACATCACACTGATTAGCTTTAAATGTGGGTATCATGTATTATAGATTCACAAGTACTATTTATTTTTTATCTCAGTGAATTTATTTTATCTCCGTATGCAGCGTGAAATCGTGATGAAAACAAAATATTTATCCAATTTTTTATTTTGAAATCTTCCATTTTTACTACTTCTTTTCATGACGACTTCACTTTAAAATTAACTATATCTGTGATAAATGATATTCAACTACAATGAAAAATAATCAATATCATAAAGATTTTTAACACTTTTATTCAATTTATTTACTATATATGTAACCCGATTTATGATTATAAAAAAAAAAAAACTAATATTTTAAGTATATAATTCTATAATACAATTAATTATCCAGAGTAATAATATTTTTTAATAATTGTAATACAATTTTTATAAGCTTCATTATGTTGATATAATTAAAAAGGAAGTCGCTGACTATACATAAGCATGTATATCTGTCAATTATTTACTTTTGCTGAAAAAGTAGTAAAAAATTATTGTTATTTTAACTTAGATTTATTATTTGTTTATGTATGATCATTATTTTTATCTAGATATATAACATTATTTTAATATATTAAATTAGAACAATCTTAACATAAAATTTTATTTTGTTATATTACCATTTTTTAAGTTTTTATCCTATATAATAACATTTTTTGTAAGAAAAAAAAGGAATGAAATAATAATAACAATATATATATATATATATATATATATATATATATATTTTTTTTTATCAAACTTACTATGTTTCATTCATTTACATACCTTTCGTAAAATCCTCTGATCAGTCCAAGTTTGTATCTTATACGGCAATGTGTTGTTTTCCGAATTATTAGAGCCAACTGTACCAACAATCTGTTTTTTTTCTCGTAACATTGTTAATACATACTTTAGCTCTTCGTGTACTTGATCTCGTTGAGTTCTTTCTATGTGTACCATGTATAAATAGTAAAATGTTCATTTATACTAAAATTCAAATAATTATATTCCATTTAAACAAACCTTTAATGGGTTTATCACTTTTTAATAATTCTATTTTGGTTGATCTTTGTAAACAAGAATATGACAATATTGGTAGTGGAGGTGGAAGAGGTGGTAATACTTTATCTGATTTTGAATATAAAATTTGTGAAATACCCGCATCGATGTCATCGTCTTGTATTAAATTTGAAATATCACTATAACTGCTTTTATCCAAATCAAAACTATTACCTAAATAATATCGAGTATTTTTTTATATGCATACAGTTATACAAGACAATACACTTGAAGCAACAAAATTTAAATGATTATTATTTATGAGAAACGGAAAATTATTTTGAAATTATTATGAATTAATTTATAGCATTTGAAGCTTGCATTAATTTTCTAATAACATAACTTAAACAAAAGACTTTTATTTAATAAAGCTTTATATTATTCCAGATTAAACTATTTATTATACAAAAAAAAAAAAATATATATATATATATATATGTAATAGAATAAAAAAAAGCATTATTAGTTGAATACGGTAGGTACAAAAAAGGGACATAGAATATAAATATGAGAAGAAGGCATTTTGATGAAATATACCCACATACAGATAATGCATATATTTTTAGATAAGTACATATATATTTTTTTCTCAACTTAAAATATAACTTTGTACAAGCATTCTATTGAAAAAGGTAATTGCACTTAAGTCTTCTATACTCCCTTAAATCAGAATAAAAAAAAAAAAATAAAAAAAATATGCTATATTAGGTATAATCTAGAAACGATTTTGACGCGTTCTTAAAAATTATAACTTATAAATATTTTAATATAATATTACTTATAATTATTTCAGCTGCATTGCCCCTATGATATAATTTTCTTTCAGATTAAATATCCTTTCATTTGTAGATGTACATTTTGTAGAGCATCGGCGTATTTACTACAGCACCAAATTTCTCAGCGACGATTAACAACGAATTCTATATTATTTAGCAAAGCAATAATGAACTAAAGACAATAAACGAACAAAAGAGGCATAACGTAAAGTCGAAGGTCTAATGATACTTAAGATAAATTATGTGTACAATGGATGTAAAATATTTGCTAACAGAATCTAAGAAACTATAAGCATGCATGTTCAAAGACAGATGTTTCAAACAAAAGCTTCAAACCAGTAAGAATGATATCAATGTTGCAACAACATTGACGTTAATGATAACATCAAGACTTACGAGACCACCGCTTCTTGCTAAGATACCGGTACAATCAATGTACCGTGTGTTCCTCGCACTATTTAAAAAGCCAACCGATATGCTGTAAGATATGATAACTGTTATCTCAGATCTATGTAAATATGCTTTATTGCCTTCTTACAATGGCCGGGGAAACGACATTGGTTTTTTGTGACATTGACAAACATATTTTGCATCTATTGCAACTGGACTGCACCGAATTTTATTCCGTAATTCGTATAGCTTGGTAGGAGCAAAAAAATTAAAAGAAAATGAAATCAGCTACCCAAAAGAAAGACATGGCGATATAGTGACGCAATTCAGAAAATTTAATATTATATTTAAAAAATGCTAATAATTAGTTTAGATATAAAACCTAGACTAATCCTTATATTACATATATAAATTTATTATTAATATTTAATGTCAATATAATGCTAAACACTTCGATAAAGAGTTTGGAATGCAGTCGAAAGTTATTTACGAATATTAATGAAAAAATAAAAGAAGTTTACGTGTTGAATTAGCGTTAAAAAAATAATAATAATAAATAAATAAATAAATAACAAAAAACAAGTTACTTTGAAGTAAAATTATCTAGAAAAGTGAACTGCCAATTAGTCGTATATTGAAGCGGTTATCTCTTCTAGATAACAAGAAATACGTCAAAATGTATTAATGATTTATTAGAGAGAGAGAGGGACGGAGAGAGAGAGAGAGAGAGAGAGAGAGAGAGAAATAGTCTATTCAAAAGTATCATCTTGAATAAGTCAAGTTATTTTGATTTTCAAACAGAACAGTGACACAAGACTTCCAATACATTGTTCAATAAAATCATAATAATTATTTCAGAATGATTTCTCAACTTAATCGATTGATACATTTTTAGATTTGAAAGGTGATTACTATTATTATAAAGGTGATTAATATTACCTGAACGTATTTGAAAGATCAATAAAATAAAGATATGCTAACTAACTTTCTGGACCAGTGTAAATTACTATTTCTTTCTTTCCTTTTTTTCTTTCTTTTTCTTTCTTTTTTTTATTTTTTTTTTTTTTATTTTTATTAATCAGTGTTTTCAAAGCTTTTTCATTGTTTATTACAAAAGAAAAAATATAATATAAAAAAAAAAATATGCCAATAGTGATGATATTAATGATAAGCCAAACCTATTAGATTTCGTAGTGGTCGTACGGAGTTTTTGATACTTTATCCCGTAATATCTAATTATAACAATTTATAAGAGCAATTGTTAAATAAATGCTTTATATCGAGTTGAACTTGGAATGTTGAAAATCAATTATATTGGAATACAAGGATATTGGATTACAATGCCATGTTATTGCAGAAGCAAAGAAATGGCTTTTCTTCTTTTGTTGTATTAAATTGATCATGGGCCAGCAATGAAAACAAAACACCACAGTTTGAAGCTGAAGTGTCAAGCGCAAGAAGTGCAGTAGTAAATACAATTTCACAGTTTAAAATATAACTTAGTGGAATCCATTTCAAAATAATAACGGTTTACGACGATTTCGGATTAACAATAATGAAATAAAACATCAACCCCTGAATCTCGCGTTACATAGTGTATATTGTTAATTTATAAATATGTTTGTCTCGTATCTAAATCGCAAATTAATTTTACAAAATATGAATCGAAGATTATTAATAATTGATTATAAAAGCCTACTAAGCATCGATGCACTTCAATTAACATAAATCATTTTCTCAATTTTCAATTAATATAAAATCAAAAGATATTATTCGTAAGAATCTAGAATATCTAAATAATAAAAAATATTGTCTTTACAGAAAAAGTAAGATAACGATAGTTGTAATAACGACGACAGTGATATATCGTTAGTACATAATGCAATAATAATAATAATAATAATAATAATAATAATAATAATAATAATAATAATAATAATAATAATAATAATAATAATAATAATAATAATAACAATAATGTCGTTGTTGTTGTTGTTATTGTTGTTGTTGTTGTTATTATTATCATTATTATTAATCAATTAATTAATTAATAATTAATGATAATGACAATGATGACAGTGACGACGATCATTTAGCATAAGAATATATAAATCTGATTCCTTAATGTATTAACAATCGAGTAATAAGAAAAGTCTCGATTGTAATAAACAAACGCATATAAGTGCCAACCTTTGCATATTTGGCTCATCATAATTTATAAGGTATACAAACGACCGACATTACACAAATAAAATTGAAAATTTCACAACAGTTTCTCCTGCACCTACACACATACATTACACAACACAATACATTAGACGATTTTTACGATGAAGCAGTTACATTATCATTGACGGGGAGGTACGTAGCTTTGGATATACGTAGTTACAAATCGCGACAAGAAGACACATTTCGACTCGGTGATGAGAAAGAGGCGAGTGGATAAGGGGAAAGGGGAATTACTAGGGCTTGACCGCGTTCATCAGTCGCTTTAAGCGATGCGCGTGTAGTTTCCAAGATGCTACTTTTGACAATTATAAAGTACAAATAATAACAATAATAATAATTAATAATAATTAATAATAATTAATAATAATTAAT